TAACTTTTGATGCCTGGTATATGATTAATTTCTCTATCACAAAGCACAAAGATGGGTTTTCCAAAGAAGATTTGGGATATATGTTAGTTTTTCTAACATTAGGGGGATGAAATAAGCAGTTCAAAAATATGTTATATGAATCGAATTATCGTTAGTATGATCCTCACTCAGAAGATAATTCAAGTCAAATGCCAGAAGCATTTGCTGATCCAAAATTAAATATTATATTTCAACTGCAAATGCTCCTATTAAAATTAAAGTCCCTGAAGGATGGATTTTACTGTACGCATGAAGCTTGGTAGACAAATCGGTTCCAATGGTAACAATCCTTGAAAAGGATAGGAGCAAATGATCATAATAAGGAGGAAATAAGCTCTAGAAGAGCCCACGACATAACATTTCATGAAACTCCTGAAGAAGTTCAGGTACCTGAAAATAAAGAAAGTAATGAGATCTCAACAAGTTATGTCGCTTGCGAACCGATATGAAATGATCGTCGACGATATATTTGATACAATATAGCGCATAATATTGTAAAAGATTGTGAGGATCGGACCAGCAGTCTAGACACTTGAAGATGTCATGCCATTTAGATACAAGTCATAACCTATATGACTCATTTGATTAAATCTATATGAAGATCCCTGAAGGATTTAAAATGCCTGAAGCATATAGTTCAAAGTCTCGAGAAATGTACTCGATCAGATTACAAAAGGTCTTTGTGCGTTTTAAAGGAATCCAGGTGCATGTGGTATAATCGTCTCAGAGCATATTTGCTAAAAGAAGGTTACGTAAGTGATATTATTTGTCCATATATTTTTATAATGAAAATGTCATTAGAATTTGTTATACATGTTATTTATGTTAATGACATAAATCTCGTTGGAACTCCAGAAGAGCTCCAAAAGGCAATTGAATATCTTAAGAAAGAATTTGAGATGAAAGATCTTGGAAAGACAAAGCTTTGTCTTGGACTGCAAATTGAATATTTAGCACACATTATCTTTATGCATCAATCTGTCTATACAGAAAGGGTCTTAAAAAGCTTTTACATGGACAAAGCGCACCCATTGAGTACACCAATAGTTGTTCGATCACTTGAAGTGAATAAGGACCCGTTCCAACCTCCAGAAGAGGATGAGGAACTCCTTGGTCCTGAAATACCCTATCTCAGTGCAATTGGCGCACTTATGTATCTTGCTAATGCTACAAGGCCTGACATAGCATTTTCTGTTAATTTACTAGCAATATATAGCTCTTCTCCTACTCGGAGACATTGGAATGGGATTAAGCATATTTTGCGATATTTAAAGGGAACTCTTGATATGAGTTTATTTTATGCTAACAAAGGTAGTGCAGATCTTATTGATTATACAGTTGCAGGTAAGAATAGACGTCCCAAACATGTCAAAGTTGCTAAAGTGAAATGTTATAATTATGACAAAAGGGTCACTATGCCAGAGATTGCTTTGAGCCTCCTAGAAAGTTATTTCACGATGCTCGAATTAGTGAACTTGGTGTTTATAGTTCTATTTTTCTAACTGAATCTAGTCCTTTGTGGATTGTAGACTCAGGAGCAACGAACCAGATAGCCTATGAATGCAGTGTCTCTGTTGAATTTCGACGAGTTCTATGCGGAGCAACGTGGATATATGTGGGCAACAAGAATAAAGTTGTTGTTGAAGGGATCAGTACATGCAAGTCAGTCCTGTGTGGTGGTCGAGACCTAATACTACATGATGTTCTCTTTGCACCAACATTTCGCCGGAGTGTTATTTCAGTTTCAGTTTTGCTGAAGCTAGGATTTGGCTTGTTTTGTCATGGAAATTCTGCCAAGTTGACTTTTGGTTCAACTTTATTTGGTTTTGGTCATGTGATCAGAGGTTTAATTATTATGGATTTGGATTATGATTTATTTAATAATAATGCTAGTTTTTCTATGTTTGTTTCTTCACAAAAATATGATAGTGATGTAAACATAAGGCATGCTAGACTTGGTCATATTGGCCAATAAAGAATGCAAAGGTTAGTAAAACAAGGGTTGCTTTCCAATATTGAACCTGTGGAATTGTCCATTTGTGAAAATTGTCTAGCTGAAAAATTTACAAGAAAACCTTTTGGTCAAGCGACTAGAGTTGAATATCATTTGCAATTAGTCCATTCAGACATCTGTGGGCCTATGAATGTTATGGCTAGGTATGGAGTAAGTTATTTCATCATATTTATTGATGACTTTGCCCGTTTTAATTATGTCTTATTAATTTCCCACAAATCAGAAGCAATAAGTTGCTTCAAACGCTATATGAGCTTAGGGAAAAATCAGTTAGACAAGAAGATAAAAGCTCTTCGATTTGACTGTGGTCATGAATACTTATCAACCCAATTTAAATAATTTATGTGATGAAAAGGGAATAGTTCATCAGTTGACTATCCCAAATATTCCACAACAAAATGGTATTGCGGAGAGAAGAAATAAAACGCATGTTGTACGATTTACCTCTGTTCGCCTGGTTCTAGCTATTGTTACAAGCTTGGATCTTGAATTACATAAGATGGATATAAAGACTGCCTTTCTCAATGGATAATTAGATGAATAAATTTATATGGAACAACCTGAGTGTTTCATTGAAAAAGGCGACGAAAAAAAGGTTTATAGATTTTTGAAGTCCATTTATGGCCTCAAACAATCTTCAAGACAACGGTATATACGCTTTCAGAATGTTCTTGTATCTAATGGTTTTACCATGATGGATGAAGACCATTGTGTTTATACCAAAAGAATAAGGAACAAGCTTGTGATTTTAACATTATATGCAGATGACATACTTATAGCTTGAAATGATAAGGAGTTTATAACCGAGATAAAGGCATGGTTATCATCCCAATTTGAGATGAAAGATATGGGTGAAGCTGCATATATTCTTGGAGTTAAGATTTTAAGAGATCGTCCAAAGAAACTATTGTATCTCTCATAAGAGAATTACATTAGAAACATTCTTGAATGATTCAACATGCAAAACAGTAGCCCAATTGATACTTCTATCAGTAAAGGCCATGCCTTGGGAAGTCAGATGTGTCCTAAGACTTCTGAAGAGACAGAAAAAATTAGCCGAGTTCCTTATAGGAGCGCAATCAAAAGTCTAATGTATGCTATGGTGTGCACTAGACATGATGTATGTCAAGCAATTGGCTTGGTAAGTAGATATCAAACCAACACATTGGCAAGCAGTAAAGAGGATCATGAGATATCCGAAGGAAACTGCTGATTATGCCATTTGTAACCAAAGCAGCAAGGATTTGTGATTAGTTGGATACAGTGATGCTGATCATGGAGGAGATCTAGACGAAAGGAAGTCTACCTTAGGATATATTTTCTTACTCAGTAATGGCGCCATATCATGGAGTAGTAAGAAACAATCATGTGTATCACTATCTACGATGGAAGTCGAGTACGTGGCTCTCGTATCAGCAGCACATGAAGTTGTTTGGTTGAAAAAGTTCTTTGAACACTTGTTGGATATCACTGAAAATACTGAACCAATATTAGTCTACTGTGACAGTGAGGATGCAATATCCTCCACCAAGGACCCTAAGTTTCATTGTAAACCAAACATATTGATATCAAGTATAACTATGCGAGAGACATGGTTAGACGCAGGGTAGTGAATGTGAAGTATGTGTCTACAAAAAATATGTTAGCAGATCCATTGACCAAGCCTTTGCCTAGAGATGCATTTGTGAGACACATTAGGTCTCAAGACTTGCGTAGACTCTGAAATACTTTATTTTGTTATTCATTTTCCTGTGTTCGCAAAGATGATTTTTTTAATTATCAATAAAGTTGATTTACATATATATTTTTATTGTTGAATGTTATGTGCATTCTTTATTTTTTTTGATAAGCATGTCGGGTAGACAAGAGGTTGGCCTTCTCACACAGGCAACCGCCTCCTTATCTTAGTGATGTGAGGAGATGAGATATGATTTTAAGTAAGATTATCATAAGGATAATTTGAGAGCTATTCGCATAAAATCAGAATGTCGCTTAAACAATGACATAAGGTTATTAGGGTGAAAAATATTCACTTAGTCTACTTTGTGAGCCAGATGCGAGTTAAATATGATTTTGTAGATCAATGAACTCAAATTTAGATATTTATGGTGTCTAAATATCATCTGTACAACATTTCTTATGAGACAAAGACATACGCTCCTTGGAAAAATCGAGAAAATGTTGTAACACGTGTTTTACAAGTAAATTCTCTGTTTTACAATTTACGCGCTAATCTAATGTGTTTAGTTTATTGCATTCTAACAAATAGAGAAGTTAACTTTTTCCTTCTTGAAAGCTTGCTTTGCTAAACCTAGCTATATATGAGGAATGAACATCCTCCACAATATGATTATTTATAACAAAAATATCTAATTTGAATGTAAAGTTCCATTGAGATATTTTGACCCCAATATAATCTAGGTGAAAGCAACTTGTCGCAAGTGAAAGGAGAGACAAATATAAACATGCAATGTGCCAGGTTGGTCCAATTAAAGTGCTCGCATCCAAATATGCCGATGCAATTTGAATCTGATTTTTTTTTTCTCTTTAAATTGGATTTCTACTACTACTGCTACTCTAGATGAAGTCTAACAAATCCGTGCATCCTTAAATTATAAATTTGTCCCCGACAGTCCAAAGTCACGATAAAAACTCCTTTTCTTGCACTAAAAGCAGAGACTTCTTCTTCACCCCATACTCGGAGTCCATCTCCTTTTGGCGATTTTCTCTCTCAAAATTGTTATAAGCATTTTATTCTCTTCTTTTTGGGATCTGGGTCACCCTTTATCTTCCTAAAAAGATTCAAGAAGACCAAAGTCCTAATTAGATTTGATAACACCA